GGTTCTAAGTTTAACTCCATGTATTAAGATCCAATTCCACAGGTGAAGGGCACAACCCTCCACAAGGAGGCCTTCACTTGATGCTATCACCACAAACTCAGAAAGCCCAAAAATCTACACCATGTACCAACTTATCATGAATTGAGATATCCCCATGAGACACAGAGTTTGGAAATTCACAATAATTAATAAGACAAGTCAATCCTGAACTTTATAGTGCAGTCAAGAGGACTGTGCTTTTATTATAAAGGACAGAGTCAGAACAAGCAAAAGAAGAAATACTAAGGATCTGTTGCTGAGGCTTCCTGTCCTTAAGGTGTGTCACTCTGCTGGTGCATTGTAATAGGATTGCCAAGCACAGAAATTCCTTTAAGATTAAGGTGAACATGGGGGAGGGGTTTCTTAGTTAAATATAATACAATGGATGTAAGGTAGTCTCTTGTCACCCTCTATTATGGCTTGTGTCTAGTTGTTTACCCCAAGCCTCATGCAGTCATGGGGTAAGGACTTCTAGAGTTTGAGATTAACTCATGAACTTCCAGCATTATGGGTTTTAGTACTGCTGGTATTATGGGTATGAGTGCTACAACAGCATGGGGTGGATAGCCTGACTGTGACACAGACGGACAGATTTCCTCTATGTTGCCATTATTGTTGCTGCTACTCTTCCATTTTGCTCTTATTCTTTGCCACCACCAGGAAAGGTTGCTCTCTGCCATGTGCTGCTCTGTGTTGGACCAAGCTGAGTATGGACTGAAACCTCCAGTAATGGTGAGTTCAAAAACCCTTTCCTTCCTTCATTTTAGGTGTCAGGTATTTGTCCAAGCAATGAGAAAGGAGTAACAAAGACACCCTCCAACCATGAGGGTTAGGATTCTGGACAGAAATAAGTTCAAAACTGTATACTTTAAGGAAAATAACAAGTCAATAAAAAACACTAAACCTTATGAGACACAATGAAAGCAGCCCATTGAGGGAGATTTATAGCAGTGAATACTCTTATCAGGAGAACAGAGAAAGTTAAAAAGAAACAGTCTAATGATGAATCTCAAGCATGGAAAAAGAAGAGGAGGCAGAGTCAAAAGATCATATAAGAAAAGAAATTTAAAAATGAAAGCAGAAATTAATGCAAAGGAGAGCAGGAAAGCAATACACAGAATCAAAGAATTGATAAGTTCCTTCTTTGAAGGATGAAATAAAACAGACAAAGCCAGCTAACCTTATTTAAAAAAAGTAAAGTCAACACTCGTATTCACACTATTCAAAATGAATGGGATAAAATGAGAATATATCCTGCCAAAATCCAGCAGTTCAACTATATCTGCTTTGAGAAATTATACTCCAATAAGAGGGAAAAATCAGAAGAAATATATATATATATTTCTGAATCAAGAAGATATAAAAATCTTAAATAAACAAATATCAAATCATGTAATTCAAACATAATTTTAAAAAATACCCACAGAGAAAAGCTCAGTCTATGATGGATTTTCAAACTCTTTAATAAGAGTGAAATGGAAACAATACTCCCACATTCATTATTCCTGGAGACAAACATCATTCTGATAACAAAACTATAGAAGGACCCAACTCTAAAAGAGAGACATAGGTCAATCTTACTAGTGAACATGGTTGCAAAAATACTGAATCAGACGTTAGCAAACAAAATGCAACAAATCATCAAAAGATAATAGGCCATGACAAAATAGGATTCATCCCAGAAATGCAAGGATGGTTCACCATATGCAAATGAATACATGTAATACACAATATTAACAGAGTCAAGGTGAACACCATGTGATCAATTCAATAGCTACAGAAAAAGCATTTTACGAAGTGCAATATTCATTCATGGTGAAACTCTATAGAAAATTCGAAGAGATGGAACTTCTCTGTTTCAGTTACTTTTCTCTCATTGCAGGAACAAAATATCTGACAACCCAAAAGCAAAGAAGGAAAAGTTTACTAGTTAACAGCTGTAGGTGGGGATTTGTCCAGGCTCAGCTGGCTCCAAGGCAACATAGTACATGACAGAGGGCAGCAGTTCATGATTGCAGAAAAGAGTAAAACAGCAATAGCAAAAAGGAAAGGATCAGTGGAAGAAGCAGAGAGCAAGCTTCTCCCCACTGCTTATATTGTATTCAGGCTATCTGCCCCATAACAGGTGTAGAAATCACACGATAATGCCAGCAACACTCACACCTGTAATCAAAACACTAGATCATGAATTAATCACAAACACTACAAGCCCACTCCAATGGCTGCATGCAGCTTCAGGGGGACAACTAGACACAAACAATACTTTCCTGTCCAAAGACACGTGAACATCTCTTTATAGAAAATGAAGTTTAGTCCATGTCTAAGAGCTGCCAAAATCCTAACAGTTTCATTATTGCTAAAAAAATCCAAGTCCCAAGTATCCTCAGAGATTTAAGGCAAACTCTTAGCTGTGAGCCTCTGTACTAATGAAAAGTTAAAGATTTCCAACATTCAATGGCACAAGAAAAACATTACCATTCCAAAAATGTACAAATAAGGGAACACAAAGCATTATGATCAAAGTCAGTCCAAACTCCAACAGGTCGAAGATGAAGTTGGATGCTCCACATTCAACATCCAAGGTAAACTGTGGCAAACTGTACTCTAGGTAAGTAAAGATAACAATGCCCAAGGTAATAATCAGTATTACTCCCCTATTTTCTTCTGTTGAAATAGTTTTCTATTTTTTTCTTTAGAATATAACTTTAAAGAAAAGATTTTCCTCTCCAACTCTGGTACATATCACTGTCACACCCAGTTCTCTCCTTCCACTCCTGACTGCCCTTCCTGCAGCTGTCAGGGCCACTGGATGCTGATGGAAGCCAGCTGATGTGCCCTCTGGAAATTCCTCCAGCCTTAAAGATTTCACTGCTCCATTATGGAACCTTAGAGAACCCGTAAAAAGCTTTTGCTTGTTTCACTGCTATAGCACACACCCAGCCAAAATTTGCAAAGTATCTTAGGCACCCTCTCATCATTGAGCCATTATAAGAACTGACGACATCTTTGTCATGTCTCCATTGCAGGGCAGTTTCTCAGACTGTGACATCTTCTTGCATCACTTCTTCATAGGTCAGCCAAATAAAACTTGCAGGAAACACAGGGACTGGATTGTAAGGAGACCAACATAAGACAGATTCACTGAAAGTGAAGAGCTACTGATTTGCAGATGCATACTTTCTCATTCACATCAGGACAAAGAAAAATTTTAGAAGGAGAAAAACATAAATTTATGTGCGAACAAAGAATGGATAAAGAATATTTTAAAGGGTTGGTTTCAAGGTCACAAGGGGATTTTCAGCTAGGGGTGACATAGAAGAAAACAATCCTCTGTAAGAAGTGAAATTATTGAAACTCACAATGTTCACCTAAGACAGAAATGCACTTAATTGGACTCTTTACCTTCTGGAAATTCATAGCCTATGATAGTGACCACTGCAGCAGCAGATCACCAGGGGCCGCAGAGCCTACTAAGTATAAGAGGCCCAGAGAAGAAAATGCTCTCAAGCTAAGAGGTGCAAAGTTCTGGCATGGGAATCATATGGCCAAACACACACACACACACACACACACACACACACACACACACGCATACATACATGCACAAATGAAACATTTGTCAAGACTTCAGAAAAAATCAGAATTGTTGTCTAGTATTCTGAAGAAACAGAAAAATATGAGGTGTGATTGGCAAATAGAGTCAATATTTAAATTTTGTATTGCATTAAATGACACATTGCCCTTGATATCACTCTAAATACTGCCATTTGCTTCAAATACTTATTCCATCATCCTGCTAATTTTGTAAGTCACTTATAAGTTCTCTTTCAGGATTCTAGTGGGCTGTTATGGCTGCCTTGATGTCTTAAGTCATCACATTTAAATTAAATACTAAAATATTTAATTGAAATATTTTCCTTTATGGTCATTTTGACCAGAAACCTCATGGTGTTATTTCTACGCAAGAGGTGGATTAAGGACAAAATTCCATGTTTTATGGAGCAGCATTTCAGTTGAAATCTCCATACTTTCATCAACCTTGTAAATACTTATCAAAGAAAATTTTCATAAAGAAGAGGGAAAAAAGAATAAATTGAGGAACTTATTTGAAACAAGGGCAAACATTTTGAAGTCAGTAAAGTGTGTTTTATTACAGTGATCTTCAAAATTTTATCATTCATTTTAATGATACCCTTCAAGTATCATTCAGAAATAAATTCTGCAGTCCTACTGAGATTTATGAAAGAATTTCTGCTCTTAGAGCAATGGATATTCTAAGTGGCTGATGATTAGGTGTGCCGCTTAGAAACATAAATTCAAGATCAAAAGAATCCAAGGTGCCAGGTCCTCAATCCAACCTGATTCATAATGTGGATGAAACAGTAATTGACTCAGGTTTCCATGACTAAATTTACTAAACTCTTCTCCTATAACATTGGAACCTGGAATCACAGACACAAAACTTGCTGTACTGAAAAAAGAAAAAAATACCCCTCCAGACCTAAGGAAAAGGAGATACAAATAGGAAAACACCTGCAGGACCCACTCATTACTTCAGTGGTATTGTTGCTGCAGACTCTAGACAGCAGAGTGGGGATTTTCCTGAGACAGCAAGTAACGGCTCAGAAAAACACTGTAGGCTGAATGTTTCATTTGCACACTCACCACGGATTAGGCAAGTAGGTTTGTTCTGACCAAGATGTTGAACTCCTGGGCATAAAAATCTCATTTGCATGAAGACCTTGCCCACATCACCAGCAGGGTCTGAAGAGCTAAAAAGAGAGCTGGAGGGCTGCTTGTGTGCTCAGCAGTCTTGAAAATCATAGCCCTGGGCTGCCTGCACCATGGCCTGGGCTACTCTCCTGCTCACACTCCTGACTCACATTTCAGGTCAGCAGGGATTTTCTAGCTGGGCTCTGGATGGCAGCAGTGTTGCCTCTGTCTCCTCTCTTCACCATCGCTTTCCTCACTTCTTTTCAGGGCTTGAATCTCAGCTTGTGCTGACTCAGGAATCTGCACTGTCCACCTCTCCTGGAGGGACAGTCACACTCACCTGCAGCGCCAATACTGGAGCTATCACAACCAACAATTATGCTAGTTGGGTCCAACAGATGCCCTATCACACAACTAAGGGGTTAATATATAGCACCAGCAGCCGCTATGCTGGTGTCCCTGCCAGATTCTCAGGCTCCTTGCTTGGAGACAAGGCTGCCCTCACCATCACAGGAGCCCGATCTGAAGATGAGGCCACCTATTACTGTTTGATATGGTACAGCAACCATTTCCACAGTGACACATGCTTATAGGGAAGTGAGACAAAAACACCCTGTACAGACTCACATTGTGCTGCTCAGCACCTCTTTGCATATAAAGCAAGACTCAGAGTAATGTCTGGCACCTAAGAGAGATGAGAATCTGGAGACTATGAAATGGACCATGTTAGGCAACCAGTGCAAGAGCTACAGTCTACTCCACCTTCAGCAATGTATATGCCTTTCTGTAGCCCTCTCTTGAGTGTGGGCTGCAATGTGTAACTGGAGTAGTAAATCTGAAGATGAGTTAGTTAAAGTACATCCATTTGTCCTGTGTTTTGAACACTTGAAGAGCAAGTTTTGTTCAAGCTAGTGACCATTAATTGCCTGTAGCAAAGACCTCTACCCAAAAAGAGAGGAAAAAACTCCAAGGAGACATGGAGAATGTTTTATGTGTCTAAGAAAAGTCAGTCACCATGATTTCAGTTAGAAACCTGAGTGTTAGAGAGCTAGGAAAGGAGGTAGGCATCTAGAGTGTCATAGTCCCAAAATTTTTATGTTTCTTTAGTAAATGTGAAGTGCCCTTTCATGGTGGATACAAGGAAAGTAGGCTCTAAATAGCTAAAACTATGCTTTAGTCTTCATTTAGAGAAGTTGGATGTGTGAACTTTCCATAGTGATGTTGGCAGGTTTGCCTTCATGGTTGCAGTCTACTGTGAGGAAGGAAAAACATGGAGCCAATATACACATGAAATGTTTACCCCATGTATATAAATTATTTCTAAGAATAAGATAGCTAGGGAAATATTTGGTCACCACTACTTAGATAAGAGTATAGAGATTATGGTTTGTCTTGTTTTCCTATTATTGTGTTGCCTAAATTGCAAAATGACACACAGTGAGGCAAGAAGCTAAAGCTGCCTACACTCAGTGTGACTGAGATCAGAAGTGGATCTTCCCAGACCAGCCAAACCTTCAGATATATTCAGGCTCTGATGGCAGGCTGTCTCCAACTAAATCATTATCTTGAGCCTGAGCCATCCAGCACCATGGAATTCCTTGATTGGTAACTCCTGAGTGTTAGAAGATAGTAAAAGTTTTGAAAATATTTGTTTTAGGTTAATAGCCAGCATATTAACTAAGATCTAAAAGTAAATTTAAATCTTCTAGTGGGAGACTGAGACAATACCCATGCTTGGGGCGCACTTCCCCAGGAACATTCCAGGGTTTTATGGAGGCTGTGTCAAAGGACTGACTCATGATTATGCTCATGTTTTCTATGCATTCATTTAAGTTTACATGTCTTTTTCAGTTGAAAAGAATGAAAGATATTTACATTTTCTACAGAGTGCAACAGTTGTGACCAAATGTTCATCCTACAGTGCGTGTTACACACAACAGTTCTAAAGGCAGAAAAAAATAATATTTTGTGAATGATTCTGAGCTCTTTAGTGACCAGTCCATAAAAGATGGTCCCTAACCTCCTCGAAATATATACAGATTAAGTAAAATCACGTGAAGACATGAGGCCAAAACTAATATCTAATCCTAAGCAAAATGATATATTTTTATACATTTCCTAGAGAAGACTTGATACTAGTAATGTAGCTACTTACTACTAAAAATCATAGGGATCATCACAGAAAACAAAACATAATATGCCTGAAATAGAGTCCAATAAGCACTCAAATAAGGCTTCCCTGGCAAGGGCAAGGGCCTGGTTCAAGTCCTGATTTAAAAAAAACAAAAAAAACAAAAGAGTTTCTATACAAAGGAGCAAAAGTAATTTCAAATTTCCAACCCACCCTGACAAATTCAGGAGGCATGGACAGAGAAGAAGTTAGAAGTCACTCTCCCAAGTTGTTATGCCTTACCTGTAGGTTCCACATGTGCAAATTGAAATAATGTGGACCAATTTAATTTTCCACGGTTTCTTTTGTTTATTAAATTATGGTAACTTAAACTAATGGATCTTGCACCAGGAACAGTGTCATGCCCCTCTAATCCCAGCACTCCCGAGGCTATGGCTGGGGCAACACTGCAAGTTCAAGGCCAGACAAGTCTATATACTGAACTCAAGTCCAGCCTAATCTGCATCGTGAAACCCAGTATCAAAAAAATAAATAAGTAATACGTTTAGTATGCAACTATCCTGAAAACTGGTATTGCTAATGTAGAGAACTTTTGGAATATAAAATCATACACAGAATTCCAAATGAATTTTAAAACATTAAAATGCTAAATGTAGTTTCTTAGGGAAATTTCACTAGTCTTTCCTTTTGAATCCTATATTATTTATATTCCAAGAATAATTTACATGACTACAAACAGCACTACATTTTATATCACATGCATTTTCACAAACAGATAGTGGGAACAATACAATCATTCTAAATGTCAATATTCAGCCAATCACATCCCCACTGTCAGGGGAGCCATGGTCCTGAGGCACACAGGGTCTTGATGAAATCCCCTACAGGGTGGGAAGGACAGCAGGCATGGTAAGTGCCTGGGATACAGCATCCAGCTTCCCTGGCAGAGTCCAGGGTAACTCTACTCTAACAAATGGAAACACTTTGCCTGAAAACTCCTATCATACAATTGGATCTGTCATTTAACTGTAGACTTTCCTCCAGGGTCTAAAGTACAAAATCTATAGTTACTACCATTTCCCAACTTCTAAATTGTGCTTGATGATCTCATTATTAATAATTGTACCATCGTGGGTAGAATGTTATATTTGTTGTAATCAGTTTTTTCCCTTGTTTAAATATATTGGGCAGCTCTGGGGTAATAACCTCAGCACAGCCCTATATCAAAAGACTGGGACTGAATCAAAAGAAATCAACTTCCCACTCTCAATTGACTGGAAAGGTATGACATTAGAACAGACATAAATAAACTCCCACACAGAAAATATCCTTGAAGAACAGATGTCTCCTGGAGAGGACTTGATACTAGTGATGTAGCTACTTACTACTGAAAATCATGTGAACCGTGACAGAAAACAAAATATAATATTTTTGAAATAGAAAATGTCAATACAAAGGAGCAAAGGAAATTTCAAATCTCCAACCCACCATGACAAATTCAGGAGGCATGGACACAGAAGAAACTGTAAGTCACACGTAAAATTTCTTACATGATAGCAATTTGGGTAACACAATCATAAGAGGCTATAGAGGAGATCAGATCAGAAATGAAGTCTCAGGTGAAAAAGAAATGGCAACCAAGATGAAAAAGCTCTTCCCCATATCTAAGGGAGACACAGATTTTCAAAGAGCAGCATAGAAAAAAGATGAAGCCCTTCAATTAATACTATAGAAAAGATTAGAATGCAAGTAACAGATTGAAAGACATACCAGGAATTAAAAAATTCAATTGAAATCTGGTAAAACAACTTAAATGAAACTGAAGGTACAATTTGAGACCTTGAAGAGAAGCTTGCAGGAAGTGATCATAAAAGAAAAGATTTCTTAAAAGTAACAAGGAAGGGGCCAGGAAGACGGCTCAGTGGAATACATGCTTCCCTGGCAAGACAAGGGCCTGAGATCAATCCCTGGTTCCACCAAAAAGAAAGAAAAACAAAAGTCACAAGGAATTACAAAATAACAATTCAATATCTGCAGCATCATAAAAAGAAAAAAAAGACTGATGTGTCAATGAAAAAGCAAGAGACAACACAAAAGATCTAAGAAGATTATTTGCAGAAGTAATAGCAGAATATTTCTGAATATGTGTAAAGAATCTGACACACAGTAAGTAAGGCACACAGAATTCCAATTGACCATAATCAAAAGAAATATGCACCCAGAAAGATAATGATCAAATGCCAGAATGTCAGGACTGGAACAGATTATTAAATGCTGTTAGAGAAAAGAGAAAATTCATACATAAAAAGACTCATCCAAATCATGGCACTTCTCAACTCAAACTATTAAGTCAAGAAATGCTTAGAGGAAAGTATTTTAAGTGTCAAAAAAAAAAGTTCCAACACGAGGTTTACATAGCCTGTGAAACTATTTCAGAATTAATAATGAAGGTCGGCCAGACGGCTCAGTGGACTAAAGTGCCTGCTTAAGTAGAGAGCAGCAGCCAGGATTCGATCCCTGATGTGCTGTGCCAGTCCCACCTGTGAGGCACACTGAGAGGCCGATTGACACTGGGTGTGGAGGTGCTCTCCTGTCATTCCAGAGCTTGGGTGGCTGAAAACAGGAGAATCACTACAAGTCCGATCTACGTAGTGAGACTCTGTACACCCTATAGACCCTGTACTAAATTCAGAAAAAAATAAAAGTAATGGCCAAATAAGATTCTTCCATGACAAAGAACAACCAAAATCTCATGAGCAATGAACCAACCTTACAAATAATCCTGAAAGATATTGTAGAAAGGGTTAAAAATGACCAACATTTCAAGAAAAACATCAGTAAAAAAGCTGCAAACAGAGTAATTATACAGACAGACAAATTAGGGAACAACAAAAGGAGATTTCCATAGCAAAGATAAGCCAATACTTATCCGTAATAACCATCAGTGGAAATGACCTCAATGCTCCATCTAAAGAAAGACTGGCAGAATTGATCAAGAAACACATTTAGCTCAAGAGTAAAGTCTTAGACTGAAAATCAATTATGAAAATCTAACAGGCCAGCCAGGTAGCTCAAAGGTCCTGCCAGAGAGCTCAGCAGACTAAAGCACTAGGCAGAGCACAAGGGCTGAGGTTCAATCCCCAGTGTGCCCTGCAAACCCCACCCATGGATTGCCCTGAGATGGTGATTGAGACTGGGTGTGGTGGGGCGCACCTATAATCCCAGTATTTGGGAAGCTGAAAACAGGAGAATCACTACACATCTGATCTATGTAGTGAGACCCTGTGTATCCTTTAGACCCTGTTCTAAACACATAAAGATTAATAATAGTTTTTTAAAAAGAAAAACTCTATTTCATGCAGCAGGAATGCAGCTAAAATCAAGGGTAGCTGTTCTGTTTGCAGACAATGTAAAGTTTAAACTAAGAATAACCAAAAGAGCTAAAGAAGGCCACTACATTCT